TTTCTTTTTCTACCAAATGAAATAGAGATCAGATTGTGAGGTCTAGAAAGAAAGATTCAATCCGTACGTGTATGGTAATTAACTAATGGACCGTATGGGTTGCAGTTTGTTAACTACTCCTTTGGTTTGCCCTTTGTTAATTACACTTAAAAATATTGCTTTAGAAACATAGATATCTCAAAAATCTTTAATTTTTATACACATTCTGTATACTATATAACACATTTTAATGAATTAAAGGTAATTAATATACGAGACACGTAATTGTCTGTTGCTTTGTATTATTTTTGCATTTTATTCTCTTGCTATAGATTATGGTTTCTGTACCAGATTGTAAGCTTTGAATCCTTGTTGTTAAATATTTTGACACCTCAAATGATGAGATTATGCATTAATCAAGTAACATTAGCAAAGTCCAAGTTAAGGACAAATATAATGAGTAAATACTTGTTTGTTTTCTTGAGAAAACCGAGCTTTAAGGATGCTAATTACATTGAAACCTTGTGATTAATTTTCAAAGTAGAGAAATTTCGTTTAAAATATATGAACTCGTAAACATTAATCCTAAAATGTTTTAGTTAAATCTTCTTGCTAAAACAACTTCATCTGATTTATTTATATCATCTTTTATCTAATTTTTTAAATTCATTTTCAATGATTAAGTTTATATCTAACTAAAGCATGCATATAGTTTGCAAGTAAAATAATTCAACAAAAAATAAATGTAATAATGGTCCGGAAGAAGATTATCATAATGATCCAAGGTCAAAACTCTAAAAGGAGTTGAATGGTCTAATATTGTTGTCCTTTTCCTGAGAATGGCAATAACATGCATCTTAGATGAATAATTGTTCTTTGACCCTAATCGGTCAACCACCCTAAGTGGTCCTATACTAGCTGAGATTGAGATATAATAAATGAATCGCAAAGCAAGATTCAGAGTCTAGTGACCATGCTCATATATATATGGGGACTACCAAATGGTACCACTAAATTTTGTAAATTATTTGTAGTAAATGCAAATGGGGATTATTATGCTAATTGGTTGGAAGCATAACAACATATTTTAAGGCTGGTAGTGGTATGAAAAGAACAACACCATAAGGGATAAGGACGAAGATCTAGGTGTAGTGCCAGTGTATATGTAACCATCGATCATCACACGCATTTTTTGGGTCCCAATTTGCATAAAATTATATGGAGTACGTCTGCATAGTGATGCTAATGAAAGCTTGTCACATCAAATACTCATTCACGACAGGATCGGGATTCTCTCCCGTTTTGGCGCAAACTGGACGATTCAGTTAAGTAAAATTTTGTATTTTTGTTTAAACAAAAATTTTTAGCTTAAGAGAAAATACAAAATCAACGTGACATGACAGGATGTCCAATTACGGGAGAGAATCCGAGTCCCATTCATGACACATTTGTTCATAAACTTTACAAACATTTTAAAAGCATTTCCATGATTTAAAATTATTTCATCACAATATTCGTGAACAAAATAATTAGGCATATCTATTAAATTTAATTTACTAAGTTAATTGTATCTGAATAATTATACACTCTAAGTATTAATTTGTTTGAATAAATTATTTTATAATAATTTTACTCTATGTGTATACTTTATTGATTTTTTTTGTTTTATATTTATACTAATTGTTTACCATATATATCGTTTAGAAATTCTAGACTAGCTAAAAGTATTTATTGCATGTATTATGCGATATCTTGTTCTGAACATATATATTCAATAATCACTACGTCAAAATGGAGATGTGTCAGAGCAGTTCTGTTTTAATTTAGAAAGTGTGTAGAACTGCTCTAAAATTTCACGCTATCTAATATGTTGCACTTAGAGAGCTGTTAAATAATCGCTCTCAAATGTTGATATTAAAGAGCAGTTCTACGTGGAACCGCTATCACAAAGTAAATGTCATTTAAAATATATCGCGAATCTGGAATTTGAAATTTCTTTCTTTGTGAGTTTTCTATTTCAAACCAAAATTAATTTATTGTTATGCTCAAACTTGCTTCATTTTTATTACAAATCAAAAGTGAAACTTGTTGAGTTTATACGTTGTATTAACCAAACAGTCCACATCTGCAACACTATTAAGCAGAAAAAAGAGAACAAAATTAGCGGGATGATTTACAATTAATAGAGGAAAAAAGAAAGAAAGAGAGAATATAGAGAACAATTAGAAAGGTAGAAACAGATATAAAAGAAACTAACTTTTTTTAACGCAAAGAAGACAAATAAAACCTACAGTGAAAGAGACAGAGAACAACTTTGTTAGTGCATAAAAAATGAAGAAGACGAAAAGAACTTACAGATGTAAAAGTGAGCAACTTTGTTAAAAGACGAAGAAATTTGAGAGCACACGTCATTTATAAGATAGAAAAAAATACTTTCGAGAGCGGTTCTTTATCAACCGCTCTCAGAAACGTGTGACTTTAGAAAGTGATTAATAAAGAATCGTTCTCAGAAGTATAAATTAGAGAGCAGTTTCTAGTGAACTGCTCTCAAAAGTATACATTAGAGAGCAGTTCTCTATTAACCGCTCTCAGAAATGTATATTATAGAGCAGTTCACTATTAACCGTTCTTAGAAGTATACCATAAAGAGCGATTCAACGTTAACCGCTTTTTAAATATATTATTATAAAGTTATTTATACTAATCGCTGTCTAAGTTAGTGTTTCAAAAGCTCATTTTTGTTGTAGTGAATATAAATTATTAATTAGTATATTAACTAATCTTTTATTAATTTGTAAAAAGATAATGAAATAAGTCATTATTTATGTAGGAAAATAATAATGTTAAATGTGACTGAAAGAGAAAAATCCTACTTTAAACTAGATAATAGAATTATTATTATTATTATTATTATATATTTATACTTATATTTATTTAAAGAAACAAAAAGTTAGGGTATTAGCTTTTGATTTATTTGATATTTTATTTACTAATTAATTATTTTATTTGTAGGCATATTATTGTTTGAGAGTAATAACTTGGATATGAATCAATTTAATTTTCTGTATGAATTTTGAATAATGGAATACAGAATCACATGGTTATACGTTAACTTATTTTTTCCTTAACATGTATGAAAGTGAAATTTAGCATAATATCCTCTTGCATTATATTTTGGGGTGAATTGGTTGCAATTTAATGTTAAATTTATTTTTGAAATTTGTTTATATTATTAAAGTTATTTGGAATTTGAATATACATTTTATTAGAAGTAAGAAATATTGATTCTAAAAATTTAGGTAATTTACTTACAATTATTTTGGTATTCCCTATATCCCAGTAGGCCTTTATTTTTCATGTAAAACCTTTTTTTAATCCTTTTACATAATTTTAATAATTTAAAACATATAAGATAAATACAATATCAACAAAAAAAAATTTCAAATATCAAGTATTAAAAAAAATATTTCAAGAAAATTTAAAAGTTTGAAGCTTATCTTAAAAAAAGAAGAAGAAGGAAGATAAACGAATAAGGAGGAGAGGTTGATAGGACTTATTCACTATAAAAATAAAATTGCAACTCTAAAAACATGTTTAGGTTGTTCTGAATTTCTTATTTGTTAAGAACAGGTTTTTAGAAACCATTTTTAAATTGAAAATAAAAAAAATTATGAAATAAGATATAATTATGTGAGTATGATTAAACACAAAGTACAGACTCCTTTCACCAATTTTTCGTTCATACATATAATCTCGTGAGAAATCTTAAAACTTCATGCTTAAGGATAAACTTCGTTTGTTTTTGGATCAATACATGTTGATATTATGTTGTATATATATATATATATAATTATTAAATGAAACAGGTAATTTTAACATTATGGTAAATATGTATCATATACGAGGGATACAATATAAAAAATCTCAAGATTCCTTGTGTCTTGTCTATCCCTTATGATCAAGGAACACTGTTAATATAAATTAGGTAGCTGTGAAAGGGAAGAGAGGATTCATTTGTCACTTCCTCTACTTATGCTATTGAGACAAGTTGCCTATGCTGAATAGAAGAAGGGTCGGTCCTGCGTCCTAAATTCCAAAAACATTAAGTCAAGTTCATGCATAGCACTTTTAGATTATACCTAAAGATTCAAAGAAAATTATGAGTATTGACAATCTTTCAATATAAGTCATCACAAGACAAACATCCCAAGGGCTGATTAGTCATTCATTCCCAAACTATATATCATGCACTTTAATAACGATATTTATATTATAATTTGGTTTTGAATTTATTGATTTGGTTTTGGGAATTATTTTTAACTTGAGTTAATTGGGAAGGTATAATAGAGGATTAACTCAAATTTATTTAGAGTTTATTTTTATTTTATTGACTTTTGTTTATGGTTAAATAATTGTTCTCAATTATATTTTGTATAACAAAAATTATTTTGCTTTTAAAAAATTAAGGATATTTATATAGTTAAGCAATGTATTTATTTCTCTTTCATTTTGTTTTTCTCTTTCAACTTTCTCTTAATTTCTATATATCATATTACTTGTTATATCTTTTATTTATTTATTTTATTTTTTATTTCTTTCTTTTTATCTCTTACACCAAAAAATAAAGCGTACAACAATAATTTTTTTCTCCACATACGTCGACAAATTGACATCGTTATCTCCTCATAAAAGCATTCCAACTCTTACAATTATTATTATTATTATTGTATGTATGTATATTTTGGAGTGACACATTTTGTCATTCCAAACGTGCAGCATTAATCACAACTTCTGGGAGGTAATCTACACCCTCCAATGCCCCCACCTCATAAATCACTCAATCTAAACCGTCTATGCTTTCTAGAGCTAGAGCCAATAATAAGGAACCAAACTTGGGTATCTACCTTCCTATCTAGGCCTATAAAATGTCACACCCGAAGCCCTCCATGACATGCACAAGTAGTGTAAGCATTTCCTAAAGACACAAACCTTGATGCATCTATAAATTTCATAAAATGAAAATGGCAACAATCAACATAGAGCATGTTCAAAAGGTGGAACTGCAAAACAAGGCAATAGTTGAAATGCTTTACAAGGCACTATTGGGACAAGGAACAATGGACAAGGTGGCCAAATTGCTAGCAAGTGACCTTGAGTGGTGGTTCCATGGCCCCCCTCAATGCCAACACATGATGAGGGTGCTCACAGGAGAAACTGATCACACCAAGGCATTCCGGTTCGAGCCGAGAAGCATCACTGCCATCGGCGATTGCGTGATCGCCGAAGGGTGGGAAGGCCAGGCCTATTGGGTGCATGTGTGGACCCTTAAAAATGGCCTAATCACACAGTTTAGGGAGTACTTCAACACATGGCTTGTGGTGAGAGATTTGAGGCCACCGGGGTGGGAAGATAAGGAAGATAGCATGACATTGTGGCAAAGCCAGCCTCGTGATCTCTATCGCCGATCACTGCCAGGACTTGTGTTAGCCATTTAGCCACAACTCATGGTTGTGGTCAATTGGAAGCTAGCTAAGGACTTGATGTATAATGTACTATAAATTAAGTGGCCCTACGGATTAAACATGTTCAGCTCAATCAACAACGGTGAATTATAGTAGTACAGTACATATTTGACTTGTGGACCTGGTTGATTGTTCAATAAAATGATTATCAAATTGTAAGGGTAAATAATAAATAAGTGGGCCAGCAAAAAAGATGGAAAAACTTAAAGCTTAGACGAGTGTAGAACATAATATTACATATTATATATATTTTTTTTGTAAATCTTGCATACTTTTCTTTCTTTCAATTTGTTGCCTCTTCTTATAGAATGACTTTCGAAAACCCTCAAAATGGAAACAAAACAGAAACCAAGAGTTGAAAATTATGGGTATGAATGGTAGGCCTTTCTGATCAGCAAGGATCAGAGTGAGAAGGCATTTTATTGTTATTTTTGTCAAATATGGTCTTTGGCCTATATATCAGAGGTTCTACTCACATCTTCAGGTTGAATGGTCATAATCCGAGAGAATTCCAAACGAAACTTATAAAGATACCTGAACTCTAGCAACTATATAGGAATTAGTTACATTTAATTTAATTATTATGAATTATGTGATCATATATAACTTTTCTTTATATATAATCAGGAAATCAATCTGCTGAACATTGATTAAATTGTTCTTATGATTCCAATTGCTCAGCGATAAATACGAGTGTAAATCAATCGACCATTTAAAGTTTAATAAACTTCTATTTTAGTTTCTCAAATTGTAAGTATTGGATACTTTAGTAACTAGTTTTACAAAATTTTAATTGTAATTTCTGACTTTATAGAATGATATTTATTATAATTTTTTTAATATAAAACAACAATGAAAAGGCTGAAATATGTTAAATTTAATAGTTGAACTTGACTTTCTTGAAAATTGAGCTTGAGTTGAACTCATTATAACTTGTTCAAGCCTTTTATTTTGAGTAAAATTTTGTTTATTGTTTAGTACTTAACAAATACCTTCCTGCAAAAAAAGTAAAGTAAAATAATAATAAAATATAGTTTTATTCATAAAAAATACTTAAATTTGTAAATAAAATATTTAACAAAAATAGTTGTTTTGTAAAAGAATATAATTAATTAAAATATAACTCTTAAAAGTCAAAATTATATAAATATGTAGATTTCAAACTTATAAAAAATAAACTTAGACTTATTTTAAATAATCAAACTTAACTTTAAATTTAACCTTATTTATTTAATTAAAAAAAGTTAAACAAGTATTTAATAAGTGAAACTTAAATTCGGATATCTCATCTCATTTATACCCTTCATCAGCCACAATATAATATCCCTTGTGCAAGACAATATTTGATCATGCATTTGATGGCTGAGAATGACTTCGATTTTCTCTCTCCTCTTATGGTGTGTTCACTCTTTCCTTTGCAGTGTGTTAATGGTTTTTGTCTTCAAGTTATTTATTGAAAAATGTGAGAAAAATAATAATTTAATGGTTTGGGGTGATAGAGAATGACAGACACCTGCCATCTGATGGACTGAAGTGAGTTCTCATTTCGATATTTGTTGATGACCCATGGACGTGTTTTTGGCCATACAATCTTCACTTCACAGCCTTTATTACTTGTTGAAATCAAATTTAGAATATTTTTTTCAAAGTCAGTTTAAGATGCCACAAACTGTATAATCTCTTATTGCATTTGAAAACATACTTGGAAGGGAAGCAATAAAAAAATGAAATTGAAGTTTCACATTTATGAAGGGAAGCACGTTGCAGGAGGAAAATGAATGTTGTCTGCTGCTACACAACAACTTCAAGTGATAACAACATTTGTGAAAACAATGCAAACAATCTTTTAACCAGATTTACGTAGACCTTTCAGATGCCAAATCAAGAAGCTTACGGAAGAACTGATGAGGATACAACGGTGGTTGTTCTGCTAGTGCCTGAGATATGCATAAAATGATATAGTCAGAATCATAAAACTAATATACAGGTGTTTGTTCTTATGTTGTCTAATGACTTGAGTAGAGATGCTTCAAATATATATATATATATATATATATATATATATATATGAGGCATTTCAAGTGAAAGTTGTGAGACATTAATAATGACCATTGACAAAAGAGAGAAGAAAGTGAATAGTAGAGTCTAAGCTCTTTATTTTGATCCAATGACCATTATTAATGTCTCTCACCTCTCATAATAACAAACTCTTCTCACTCGGAATGTCTCCTATATATATAATGCATCTTATTTTCAGGTCATTTAGACTTTACAATATGCCAACTGCTTCTAAATGTAGTGTAGAACACAAAATTCCCTAATTAAACCTTTATATGACAAAAGCACATGCTCTGTGAGTACCTGGTTCACACACTTGAAAAAATTAAGAAAGAAAAATAATAATATCATGGTAAGAATTCACCTGATGAATCAAAACAGTTGAAGGTGTCATTCCAGGCACAGTATTTACCTCAATAATCAAAACCTACAAATATTGAAAGTTCTCTAGGTATAAGATGAAAGATAAATCACTGAAACAAACAAATTCCGGTATAAGACAAAGTAATCTTTTGACTTCAATGAGTTGATGTTTGATGATGACACTATCATAAGGATAGACTCTCACAACAATGCAGATCGCATATATCAGCAAAAAAACAAAAAAGGAACGGTTATCAATTGAAGTTTCTTATAGGAGTTTTAAAGCCATCTCAATAACCGAAGTACTTGATAGTTAGGAATACATCAACAGGCTTTATAATCATTCTAAGAAGCTTGAAATATATTTTGTTTTTGAGACCATTGACGCATGTCTTATACTGTGGCTATACCTTTTTGATTGAGTAGATAGCAAATAGACAGATGAAAAATGTGGAAAAGAATGAAAATATACGGGATAGATAATAGAAATGCTTTGAGGAGAAAGAGAAGGGGGAAAGCATGTCCCAACAAGGAGTTCAACAAACCTCTCCGCTGTCAACATTGACAAATGCATCAATACGTGAAAACCCTTCCAATTGTAAAGTGTTTGCAATGAGTTCCATATGCTGTTTACATCTCTTCAAAGCATTCTCACTGTAAAGAGAAGAAAAAGATAAATGTCGTTCAAAATCACTTCAAAGAAACCTACAGATATTTGACTAAAATAAATAGGCAAATACAAAATGACACATGAAGGAACTTTACACATGTCCACCTAAATACAAAATTAGGAAATTTGCATCCCATAGACACTGAATCTTGGACCAGTGTCAAGCATAGTAATGCCAATTGCAGCCGTCACCACCATCGTTAAGTGTAGGTGAAAAAGAAGTTGGATTTATGTTACCAAGCAATGTATTTCAACAAATATAGTGATCAATATTACTAAGAGGTTATTGTTAGGTAACCCCCACTAATAGTTAGCTATAATGTTAGTTAGGGTCATATTAGTTAGTTACAATATATTAGTTAGTTAACCTTAATTAGTTAGTAATTTGGGATGGTTGAGATTGTAAAAGAAATAAGACATATTGCCTCTGTAAATAAGACATATTGTCAATTGTGGGAGAATTAGGGTCTTTGGCTTAGGAGATGCAATCCTTGAAGAACTGTTGAGTGTGTGTTTTATTCGGTCATATTGGTAGTTTCTTCTTGTATTTCTTAATAAAGATACCAGTTTCTACCACTGGCATTAGAGTTCTGATTCAGAGTTATGGGTGAGGAAACATCTCAATTCTTGCTTTCAACCTTTTAGTAGTTGATTTCAACCTGGAGTGTTTGTAAATTTTCATCACTCAAGTGGTTGAGCTGTGTGAGATTCTTGAAGGAATATCAAGTTCTTGGACATAAATCTTGGAAAAAACAAGAAGATGGTTTCAAACAAGAAGTTGGAGAAGCGATTTGATGAGATGCAGCAGGAAACAAAGGAACAGATGAATTTGATGAGACAATCCATCGCAGCACTCAAAAAAATGACGGAACGCAATATGAAAGGTGACCCAAAGGATTGGGAAAGAGCATACAAAGACAGAAGCATAGAAGAACCCAGCAACTGAGGTGCAGGGAACAATTAATATCGTAGAACAGATTGAAGAGATAGGTGATGCATATTCAGTTGAGTTGATGACAAAAAGCGAATTTAAGAAATGGAATCAAATTCTTGACATAAAAGACTAGACCCTGCAAAAGGTAGTGAAAAACTTTGATAGTCATCAGCTTCTTCCATTTGCAATAGTATAATTTTCAATAGAACCTTGGGTTCTCAATACATTTGCAGAGGAGGAATGGAAGTTATTTTTGGCTGCATGATGGAACTGGAATGGTTATCATGCTTCAATCAATTGGAATATCAGTTGGACTTTATTTCAGCAACTTCTCAAGGCACTTACTTAATACTTAGGAATGCAGCAACTGAGGTGCAGGGAACCAATAATATCATAGAAAGACAACAAAAACAAGTATTTCAAGCATGAAAAATAAATATGGACGAGATATTTATTTGTTTATAAAATTTAGATGTTTATAACCTGTTGATCCATATCTATCTTCCCCTAAAAATATGTGGCTTAGAAGTTGTGTGGATTATCAAACTGAGAAATGAATATATGCTTCCAATTTCAGCCAAGCTGTAAATGGTAGTTAAGGTACTAAGTTGATATCGGGTAGAAAGCATCAACCCTGCCACAAGTTGTGCTGAATTTAAACATCAGCAAACTGATAGAATCAGCTCTTAATGAGTTCTTATCACATCAAAAAGCTAAGCACTTGTCAAATATTGATTTCCAATGCTAATGTAGTGATAAACGTCAAAAAACAAGGTAGACAAGAAATTATGAGCCATATAAAAGGTTTTGTCACTGGGATGTGGAATCTCTTTAACATACCTCATAATTGACAAGGGAGGTGGAGTCAGATTGATGCCAGTCCCACCTGCCAAGCAATATACAAATATAGGATAAAAATGAACCACTGTGAACAGATAAAGTCATGAT